AGACAATCTACACTGCACTAATCCATTAGTTTATACTCGCTCTATTTTTATTTAATCACATAATTTTAAGATATACTTTTACAAAATATATGAATGTTAATTAAATTTTTTGAAGGCAAAACCCCCTTTAGATGACCCCAAATTTATTCTAGATTAAATCTTGAATCTCTAAATTAAAATATTGTAAATAAGCTCTTAAACTTCTCAAATGATATAAATTAACCTTCAAATCCCTTAAAAGATGTAAATCAACTCTGATAATTAACAGTCCAGATGGCAATTATATGCCGTCATACGTAAGGATTGAAAGCAATAGTATGTATATTAGCAATTGGATGGTTGTCTTACTGTCTAAAGACATTTATACAAATAAAATTCATCATTAATTTAGAGAATAGTGTATCATAAGTAGTTCTCTTAAAATTTTTTAGAGAATATGTCTAAAAATTTATTTTTTAATTAATATTTTTAAAAATTGATTGTTAAATTAAAAATTTTATTTATGTAGATTATACATGATAATTTTTATATTGATATAATACGTATAATTTTTTATTAAAAAAACTTTATTTATTAATATATATTTAACGTTGTTAAATTTCTTATAAATAATCAACAAAATAGTTAAATCTATTAGAATAATTTGAAAATTGCTATGCATGATTTATATTAATAAAACTTTCAATCTTATAGTTAGACCTTAAAAATATTAAGTAAAAATGAATTTTTTGATATATCCTCTAAAAAAAATTTAAGAATACAACTTGTACTATACTTTTCCTATTAGTTTATGCTCTTTGCTTTTATTTATCTATGTGGATAGTAATTTGGTATACATTTAATTTAACACATTGCATAATACATTCATTAAAAAAATATTATTTTTAATCTAAAATTAAATACAGACAAATTTAAAAATACAATTATGCAAATACGATGTAAAAATCAATTGAATCAACTGTATTTATATTATATTTTTACTAGTTAAATAAAAAATGTGTCAAAAAATATATTAAATTGAGTGTGTATCAATCATTTTCCTATCTATGTATATAAAACTAATTTTATATGTAATCTAAAGTAATATTTTTACATTATATATAAATGCTAATACTTATTAAATAATTTTATTTGATAAAAATAGTTTTCAATCATGATTCATATAAGTACTCCAGAAAAACATTAATTAAAATTACTCGCCTAAAAATTAAAATAGACAGATAAATAAAAACGGAATGAATAATTTAGTAGTTTGTGTATTTTCCCTTAAAAGACAAATTGACTAGAAAACAATTGCTTTATTCATTAAAGCAGGGGACATGTCTGCATTTACTCCAAAACCCATGAAGAGAATATAGATACCCAACACTATAAATTACTGAAAATCTAAATAGAGCAGAAACTTGAGAAAAGGCCTGTGTAAGAATATTAATTTTTTATTTTTTATTTAAAAATGTTAATTTTGTTAATTTTTAAATAAAAATATTAATTTTT